TAGTCGTAGTCGTAGTCGTAGTCGTAGTCGTAGTCGTAGTCGTAGTCGTCGTAGTAGTAGTAGTAGTAGTAGTAGTAGTGGTAGTAGTGGTAGTAGCAGTAGCAGCAACAACAACAACAACAGTAGTAGTAACAACAATAACAAAATACTTATGATAATAGTAGTAACAACAACAATCATAATGATAATGGTAAGAATAGTAATAATAATCTGAAGCTCTTAACCGTCTTAACCTTTCACGTCTCCGACATCCCAAAATCCACCTAGTCCCAGCTTCGATTCGACTCGCTCTTCTCCTTCCTTCGGCCGAAGGCCTGACCAGGGCAGCAGGGCAAGCCAAACAATGAGGGTGTTTGGGGCTTAGGGGGGTTTAGGGGTTTAGGGGCTTAGGGGGATTTAGGGGTTCAAGGGTATAGAAGGGGTTTGGGGGGTTAGGGGATGCAAGACGTGATTCCGCAGAAACAGGCGAGAGTGGAGAGCATTTCTAACATTGGACGGCGGGCTGCGCAAGCAAGCTTCCATGGCGACAGGGAATTCTGTTCCATGTGTGGATGAGTGGCATGTGAAGCCGTGGAGGCAATCAGAATAGCCATTCGAACGGACAGCAGAAAGCCTCATAGCGACAGCCCGATCAAGGGTGCACGACACATCACAACACCACAGACGACTGAAGCGCTCACAGGTCAATGAAAGCGCTTGCTTCCTGTGCATCTCACAGTTTCACTCAACGGCTCTCTGCGATTCACATTCCTAAGTTGAAACACGCATCAATCTATTGGGCAGCCTCTGAAGAGCTTCCCCATGAAAACGGAACTTGCCTCGGCTGCTAGCCGCAATGGCAATGCGCCAATCGTGAATATCATGCTAGTAGCACAGTGTGGTAGAATGTGCCATACCACAGCATAGTCCAGTGTTGCAGCACGCACGCGCGACAGTCTGCAACGATGGCTCGTCGAGCAGGGGGCCTGAAACCGTCTCAGGCCAGATTTCACGTCAAACCCGCTGGGCCATGCCCATCTAATCCATTATATTTCATATACTTCATCGTATAGTTTAGTCTAGTTTTGTATATTTAGTATATAATGATTTAAGCGCTGAGGTGCCAGCCATGCAGCCATGATCGCGACAGCCCACCGAGCACGGCAGGCTTGAGTTGGATGTGTACACATCTACGCAACATCAGAGGATGCATATTGTCAGTGCTTGAAATGCTCCTGCTGCTATCCTGCACAAAAGAGCTGCAACAGGCGGAGAGTCAGACCTTGGCAGAAACCTGAGACAATCGCCTTCCACGCGCTACCAAACCGAAACCGTGCTTGAAGCGGACAAGCGAGCACCCTTCTTTGTGTCCAGGGCTTCAGGTTTTCGATTCGATTTCTAGGGCCCTAGGGAGCTAAAACTTCTTTGCGAAGCTTACTTCGCCAACGCTCCCCAAGCTATCTGCAGTAGCTCATGAGGCCGCGAACGAGGCGACAAAACCTAAAAAAGAACCCTGGTCAGAAAAGCAAAACAGAGACTCTCAGACTACAGCATCGCCTGGTCATCACAAACCAAGAAGCTGGAAACAGAAGAAAGTTCATGGCTGATGAGGTCTCGAAATGAGGGACAGGAAGGTTGGGGGGTGGGGTTTGGCGATCGAGGGTTCCGGGGTTTGAGGGTTCCCAGACACCCCCAAATCCCCTTAATTCAGGAACATGGCTTAAACTATATAGAATATAGGGCTGCATCTTATGGTTTAAGCTATATTCCTTAATTAGGGGTTCCGGAATTTGAGGGTTTTTGCCACGACATGCGGTGAAGAAGAGCAGGCTCTCTCCCGGGAGTTTCCGAAAATAGAGGGCCCTAAGATAGTCCCCTAAATAATAGGATCTTGGGCCCCAAAATAAAGCACCCCGAATTTTCGGAAAAAAAACCTACAGGTCTCTTTTGATCCCGCGAGAAGAAAATTTGCGAGCGACCTCGCGCGCTATAGGCTTTGCCTGAATCTCGAGTCCTCCTAAGCAAAAGAACTTACCTTTGGTTAGTAGGGAATGGAAGAATGGGGTACTGTTATAACTACTACGGTTGATGATATAAATCCTGCATGACCTTAAGGACCCTAAACTATGGGAATTATGGTATATTCCTTATTATGGGTCATGCAGGATTTATATCATCAACCGTATTACTACCATTCTTCCATTCCCCACTCACCAAAGGTAAGAAAAGGGAGATCAGGGTTATGGAGAGACGGCCCTTGTAAGCAGCCTCCCCTTGTGCCAAGGACGCCAGGTTTCGGGGGCCTTAGGTTTCAGCCGCCACTTAAAGGATCATGGGACTTAGTAACTAAAAATTTATAATTAAGGTAACTGTACTTATAACTACTTATAACCCCAATTAAGGTACTTATAACCTTACTTACTAAGTCCCATGATCCTCCAAGTAGGCAATTATAGACTCGAGCCCTGCGCCGCACCATGGCACGTCTCCCAAAGCGGTCGCAGTTTGTTGAAAACTTGTCTCTGCGACGGCGAGGCAAGGAGAGTAGAATCAGAAGAAGGATCCTTGCCATAAAATCCCGTCCGATGGTTCCCCACGACAGGAACTCTTAAAAAGAAGCTTCAAAAACAAGACCACTCTACGGCTCTACGGGTGCCCTTGACGCTCGACCGTAGGTCTTGTGTGCCCCAACCTGACTGGCACAGTTTAGGGTTTGAGGTTCAGGGTTGAGGGCTTGGGTTTGGGGCTTTGGGGTTTGGGGGTTTGGGGTTTAGGCGCAGACATGAAGAGCGCGAGTGTTTGGAGTGTGTCAGCTGCCAAGATAAGGCCCATTGGGCGAAGGCTTGGGATACTAAGCCCCAACAGGAAGCCCGTCGCGGATACTGCGCCTAAACCTCTTTGGCTCAAGGATGCAAATGCTGGATTCGGCAACCCTGGAGTCCCCGAGCCCTAACCTTGTTATCACAGAGGCGAGAGGTTTAGGACTCCGAAACTCTGCGCTTGCCTTCGCCAGGAGCTTCTTGTCTTGCGAAAATCCTTCCTGCTTGCTGGCCTCGGAATCGCACAGGAGCTTTCGCTGTGGCAGAGCCCCGGGGTCTTCGCCATGCCGGCGCCGGTTTCGGGGATGTGTGGCTGCCCGCAACAACCGCAAAACTACACTGCTGTACGGCTTGGCCGAAAAAAACTCAGCAGATCCGGTGCCTCCGCTGCGATCGTGCTGACTGGCGCTCGCTGCATCGTGGGGAAGCTCGACATGAGGCGGCTGTACCTACGCAGCTATGACTAAAGCTTCGGGATGCGACGGAGGACTTGAGAGCTGCAGTGCCTGGGGTACGACGGATACCACCAGCGAAAATGCCAAGGCCAACGCTTGTAGCTTCGGTAGCCTGCATGCCGAAGGCATCACATTGAACTTGGTGAAGTGCGACTGAGGCTGCCACGCCGCACATAGTTGCCTGCAGGTACCCAAGGTGAAAACCCCCACTGCCCTTCCGACAAAGCGTGAACTGCATGCGAAACGACACCCCTTCCCACCTTTGGGCTGACTTGTTGTGGTCGGCAGCAAACTCACGCTGCCATTCCCAAGAAAGCCATTTTCCAGCGCCGAATCCAGTGTGAGCCTGCCAGGGATGACCCCGATTTCCGAGTCTGACTCCTGCTCAAGGAGGTTCGTCTTTGCGGTGATGTTTACCACTGTCTTGGTCTCACTGGATCGGTCATCCGAGATGCGGATCTCGTCTCCGATGGTGAAGGGGCTGATGTCTTGAACCGGGATTTCGCGGGATCCTGCTGGGACATCTGTCGAAAGACCGGTGGACGGAGTGGTGCCCGTGCTTACGCCAGTGGTGGCACTGCTCACTGTGGTGCTGGAGCCGATCGCAGCGCCGGCGGTAGTTGTTCCAGTGCTTACGCCGGTGGTGGCACTGCTCACTGTGGTGCTGGAGCCAACGCCTGCGGTAGTTGTTCCAGTGCTTACGCCGCCGGTGGTGGCACTGCTCACCGTGGTGCTGGAGCCGATCGCAGCGCCGGCGGTAGTTGTTCCAGTGCTTACGCCGGTGGTGGCACTGCTCACTGTGGTGCTGGAGCCAACGCCTGCGGTAGTTGTTCCAGTGCTTACGCCGCCGGTGGTGGCACTGCTCACCGTGGTGCTGGAGCCGATCGCAGCGCCGGCGGTAGTTGTTCCAGTGCTTACGCCGCCGGTGGTGGCACTGCTCACCGTGGTGCTGGAGCCGATCGCAGCGCCGGCGGTAGTTGTTCCAGTGCTTACGCCGCCGGTGGTGGCACTGCTCACCGTGGTGCTGGAGCCGATCGCAGCGCCGGCGGTAGTTGTTCCAGTGCTTACGCCGCCGGTGGTGGCACTGCTCGCCGTGGTGCTGGAGCCAACCGCAACGCTGGCGGTAGTTGTTCCAGTGCTTGCGCCGGTGGTGGCACTGCTCACCGTGGTGCTGGAGCCAATCGCAACGCCGGCGGTAGTTGTTCCAGTGCTTGCGCCGGTGGTGGCACTGCTCACCGTGGTGCTGGAGCCGATCGCAGCGCCGGCGGTAGTTGTTCCAGTGCTTACGCCGCCGGTGGTGGCACTGCTCACCGTGGTGCTGGAGCCGATCGCAGCGCCGGCGGTAGTTGTTCCAGTGCTTACGCCGCCGGTGGTGGCACTGCTCACCGTGGTGCTGGAGCCGATCGCAGCGCCGGCGGTAGTTGTTCCAGTGCTTGCGCCGGTGGTGGCACTGCTCACCGTGGTGCTGGAGCCAATCGCAACGCCGGCGGTAGTTGTTCCAGTGCTTGCGCCGGTGGTGGCACTGCTCACCGTGGTGCTGGAGCCGATCGCACGCCGGCGGTAGTTGTTCCAGTGCTTGCGCCGGTGGTGGCACTGCTCACCGTGGTGCTGGAGCCGATCGCAGCGCCGGCGGTAGTTGTTCCAGTGCTTACGCCGCCGGTGGTGGCACTGCTCACCGTGGTGCTGGAGCCGATCGCAGCGCCGGCGGTAGTTGTTCCAGTGCTTACGCCGCCGGTGGTGGCACTGCTCACCGTGGTGCTGGAGCCGATCTCAGCGCCGGCGGTAGTGCTGTTCCAGTGCTTGCGCCGGTGGTGGCACTGCTCACCGTGGTGCTGGAGCCGATCGCAGCGCCGGCGGTAGTTGTTCCAGTGCTTACGCCGCCGGTGGTGGCACTGCTCACCGTGGTGCTGGAGCCGATCGCAGCGCCGGCGGTAGTTGTTCCAGTGCTTGCGCCGGTGGTGGCACTGCTCACAGTGGTGCTGGAGCCGATCGCAGCGCCGGCGGTAGTTGTTCCAGTGCTTACGCCGCCGGTGGTGGCACTGCTCACCGTGGTGCTGGAGCCGATCGCAGCGCCGGCGGTAGTTTTTCCAGTGCTTGCGCCGCCGGTGGTGGCACTGCTCACCGTGGTGCTGGAGCCGATCGCAGCGCCGGCGGTAGTTGTTCCAGTGCTTACGCCGCCGGTGGTGGCACTGCTCACTGTAGTGCTGGAGGCAGTCGTTGACATCAGATCGGATTGAAAGTTGCCTGGCTTGGCTGAGGCAGTGGATAAAAGTCAACATGCTAAAAGAAGTGTGAACATCAAATCATGCATCCCACAAGCTTGAGATCTTACTTGGACTGAGCAGCGGATGTAATACCACATGCGTTGCACCTGGCCAGGCGTGAAACTGCACAAGCACACGTCGTCTGAGTAATCCATGAAGTTGTGCACGGGATCCCCGGATCCACACGAGCTGCGCCATGTGGTGCAAGTTCCATAATGCTCCGTTTCCTCCAAGGGTGTGTCTGCAACCCAGTCTCCTTCGACAGCGGAATCGCAACCTTCTTCGAAGGTGTGCCAGAGTCCGAGGTAGTGCCCCAGCTCGTGCGTCAGCGTCTTCCCCTGGTTGTAGGGCGACATGCTTCCGCCCGGCATCGTCCTACCGTCGATCATCAAGAGTCGCGATTCCTCCGGGTCCCCAGGGAAGCTTGAAATGCCCAACGTATCGCCCACAACGCAGACCAGGACCTTGATCTTGCCATCTTCCCGCTCAAGTCCTGAGGACATGATTCGAGCTGTTGCAGCTTTCACGCCCCTTCGGAACCCCGTTTTCAACGGCCATGCCTGGGCTATTTCTGATCATCTCCGAGAGATCGCTACAGGAGGTTTTGCAGAGATCGCTTTCGACCAGGGTGCTGCCGTCCAGGGTGAATTGAATGAAGGCATCGGCTGTAGCGGGGGTGTACATGGGCACTGCTGGGCAGTCTGCCGTGCCATTGAAGTCCCTGTTGAGCTGGTCCATCTGGTCCAGCATCATCTCTTGAGTCACCTTGAAGCACGGTCTTGATACACTCAGAAGAAAGCCTAAGCTGACTTCAAAGCCCCAAACCCTAACCCCAAATTTTCGAAAGCCCAAAACAAACCCCAATGCAGTCGAAGTCTCCAAGCTGGATACGGTTTGCTCGCCAGGGACATCGCACAAGTAGAAGTGGAGTGGAATCCTCCAGGGCTCTCCGGGACGGGCTTCGTTCTCAACGAAGCTCCCCATCACCTCTGCACTCCAAGGGGAGAAAAAGGCAAGTTGAGGCACCCCCCAGAGATCCCCCATGATAGCCCTTACAGTATATATCTATATATATATATATATATCTATCTCTTTATCTATCTATCTATCCATCTATCTATCTATCTATCTCTCTCTCTCTCTCTCTCTCTCTCTCTCTTTTATAAGGGTTCTTTAACGGAGCCTTATTCTACCATCCGCCTCCTGACAGTCCGCGGCAACTTCCCCACAGCTGGTCGGACAGGCGGAAACTCCCAGGCCACAAGACTCGCAGGTGTAGAAGTCCTCACTTAAAGGATCATGGGACTTAGTAACTAGGGATCCTTAAACGGCCCCTTTAAAGGGATCTATAGTAGGGCGGCTACTATTAAGGTCCTAAATATATCTAAAGTATGAATAGTATTGCACTATTACTGAGTGGGTCCTCATCCTCGCAGCTACTGCAGTCGCACCTGGCAGTGTTCAGGATCCGGCTTTAGATTATGAAGCTTGACCCCAGCAAGAACACAAAATCCCTGTAACCTTCGTGAATCGCTGAGGCTTCCGTAGGGGACTCTGGAATTAGGCTGCTACCGGGCCTTCGCCTTTATTTGAGAGAGAAAGATATCTTAAGAAAAAAATCTCAACACAACCTGCACCTGAAACGAAGCGTTGCTTAACTGAGATCTTCTGGCCCATCTCGTTTCTCTCCTCTTCAAAGAGTTGGGATACCTCTACCATCCCTGGGGCCCCAGAGCTGCACGATGCTGCAGTCTCTGCCAAAAAACCCTGCCTGTAGTTGTTCACCATGGTGCTATTGATTTCGCAGCCATCGTCGCAGGTGAAGGGAACAGCAGTGCAATCGACTGCAGCATCGCTGGCCGCATCAAGGGGGCAGTCGCCACAGCTAAAGCAGGTCCACCACTTCTCGTCCTCGCAGAGCTCGCAATCACACTTGTCATCGTTGAAGACGTCAACAGGCTTCGAGGCTCCGGAGAAGCAAGTGAAAGTACTGGGGCACGGAACCCAGTCACCACAGGTTGAGGGGCAGCCGCCGCAAGTGTTACAATCGAAGAACGGATTCTCTTCGCAGCCGCTGCACTGGCACTCGTTGTAAACGGGTGTTACGAAGCAGCCGTCGTTGCACGAGAAATCCCCCGTCCTATTCGTCCTGTGGAGAGCTGCCTCGGCCATATGGGAGTTTCCGAAATTAGGGTGGGTACCTTTTTTTGGGGGGTCCCTATAACAAGGATCCTACCATTTAGGGTGCTATAGTTAGGGTTAGGGTCCCCTATTTTCGGAAACTCGCATAATATGGGTTCCAGCAGTTCTTGGTCGATTTTCTCGCTGACTCTTGCGGCTTCTACCAGGCTTCCTTTGTGGGTGGGGTTGGATATTTTGGACACCACCGCTGGCGCTGACTCCCCGCAAGAACCCACTCTTAGAGAGGCTCAAAATCGAGACCCTCCCTTTCCTCTAGAACCCTCAACCCTAGAGAGATACCCCAAACGCCAAAATCCCTAGAGATACCCTAAGTTACCCTACTAATTAAACCTAAAGCTAAGCCTAAACCCGAAGTTACCCTACTAAACCCTAAAGCTAAGCCTAAACCCGAAGTTACCCTACTAATTAAACCCCAAAGCTAAGCCTAAACCCGAAGTTACCCTACTAAACCCTACAACGCCTAAACTCCTAAGCCCTGGCGCCTCGGCTCTTTGCCCCAGGAGCACAGCGCCTTGGCCAGTTTCCGAAATTAGGGGGGGGGTACCTGGGTACCTTAGAAGGGGGCCCTTATTAGAAGGATCCTACTGTTTTGGGGTACTATAGGGGATCTATAAGGGCTTATAGGGTTTAGGGGTACCTTATTAGGGGGCCTTATTAGGGGGGTCCTTATAATCAGGATCCTACCATTTAGGGTACTATGTAGCGCCTTGGCCCTCTTCGCCCCCTCCTTCTCGCGGCTTCAGGAGGACCTTCGGCGCGCGTTTTGCGGGAGTCGGATGCCAACCTGCAGGGAGATTCGGGGTTACCTTGACCCCAAACTAACCTACCTTTTTGAAGACTTATTTTGCGAGAAATCCTATTCGGGAACCCCAAAAAAGGGTAGGTTCCTTAGGGTCCAGGTAGGGTTTAGGGTAGGGAAAGTGTCCTTTGGGGCTTCGACAACTTAAGGTTGAGGGATGAGGGCCGTCTGAAGCTTGTCGCTTCGGATTTTAGGCTCCGGAGGACGTCTTTGAACTCTTGGCTTCCGCCTGCTTCGCCGCTGTGCTCGCTCTCGCCGAGGACAGCATCCATCTTGAAGATCTCGATGCCTCACCAAGCCCACCGGACATTAAACCACCGAGACGAAAACAGCGAAAGGAAACCGGATGGCCCAAAAAAACCCTAAACCCCAATGTGTCGAACCCCCAAGGGGCCCATGGTTTGTAGCATTCGCATAGCGCAACTGGCGCCTACTTTCTGGATCCGCGGGGGCTGAAGCCTGAAGCCGTAAATCCATACTTGAACCGCTAAACAAAACCTCAACCCAAGCCTAAACCCGTAAACAGCGACCAAACAACCTCCCCCACCCTAAGAAAGTCGCCGAAAAGAAGCAAACAAATCGAAACACTACGCCTGCTCCAAAAAAACAGAGAGCAGAAAAACAAAAAGAACAAAGAGAGCAGGAGGCCCCCATACCCCCTTTTCCCCTCGTGGCCCTCTCCCCCAAGCCCTGGGCGCCTCTGCCCGGAATCGGCCCGGCGGAGGCACTCCGCAAATGAACGCAGTTGCGCCGGACCTGAAGACCTGGTTTCGGGTTTAGGGTTTGGGGTATCGGGGTTTAGGGCTTAAAGTTTAGGGCTTCGGGTTCAAGGAAACATGGAAACTCCAGGGGAGGATGTTGGATTGGGCGGGCTCGGAATCGGGCTCCTCTTGAGGATTTTTAGGGTCTATCGGGCTCCCCTTCTTTTGCTATGAGCTGCTCTTTTAAGGTTTAAGGGGGCCCCCGCAGAGCTCACACTCAGAGCAACATTACACTATCGCAGGTTCTTCGCCCTGAAAGTTAGGAACGCGCCCTCAGCCCAAAAGGAAGATGAACAGCAAAGCAAAAAAGCACAAAGAGGAAAGTATCCCAAACAGCCTTGAGCTGAGATTCCTGGGAGGCCGGTGCCGCAACCCCGGTAGGCGGTGCCCCTCATGGTTGTTACGGTCTCCGTGCCCGGCACGGCACAGGAACCTGCAGATTTCGGGTACATGAAGCCCTTCACCACTTCCACGAGATAGTGCGGGTTGGGGTGCTCCAGCAGATCCAGGAAGAAGGCCATGAAGTCGTTGGAGGGAAAGGCGATGCAGCCCTCGGAAAAGTCCGGCATAGACTCCAGCAAAGTCGGTTCACTGCAGATGAACTGAAGGATCTGCTTCGAGCGCTTCAACTCCGGATCTGCCATAGCACGCAGGAGGCTCTTGCAGAGCTCTGCGGGCATGGCCGTGCCGGCTCTTTGGTTCACTTGTAGGTGCCGGCGCTGGAGCAGGGCGCTCTGATCCCCTGAGCAGTTGAAGCCACATCCACCTGGATCCAGATCCACCTCCTGGCAGGCGGCACAAAAGGTTGCTTGTCACCTGTGCCGCTGAGAAACCAGGATGCTGGTCGCCCTTTCCCCGGCCCCACCTGAGTGGCGAAGGCCACGGCCGCAACAGCCGCGCCTAGCCATAGAGCCCAGGAGGAAAGCATCGACGCGACTTCTCAGGCCTCGGCTTTCCGGGCACTTCTTTGGTTGCGGTGCATCTTCGTCTTTCTGCCGAGGTGCCACCGGGCACGAAGGGGTGGGTTCGGTCTAAGCAAATGCTCAGAGCCAGAGGCCACAGACACCCAGCCTGACGCAAGGATCCGAGAACATGATCCGGCGAAGCACGATCTTTCGGTAGCGTGCACTCGATCCACGCACACTTTCTGCGCATGTCGTACTTTGGCACGGACTCTGCACTGTTGCCTTCGGCTGATCCGGGATGATCACCAGCTAGGACAGCTAGGACTTGCGGATGATCGGATAAGCTCAATTGACAACTGCCCATCTGGACCCGCGAAGCTGAAACTTGCATCAGGGATGCTCCAGGTCTGTACAAGTAACTACAATCTACAAGAATCCTCCAAAGACATGTGGTGTACAACAGTACACTACACATGATATGCTACAATATACGAATAGACCATAGTATGCTACTATGTGACCAAGAAAGAAGACGGAGCCTGCTCAAGCGCAAAGCAATCGCGGCCCCCTGGCGCTCACGGACCTTCCTCTGACAACGCAGAGGCTCAGACACAGTCCACAGTTCTTCTTAATGTTGCAGGGGCTTTTTAGGGTTGAGGCCTTTGGAGTTTCAGGGTTTAGGGTGGGAGTCGTTGTCTTGAAACCCCCCGGCCCCGACCACAAACAGCGCAGCAAAGGCTCCTTCACGAAGATCTCTCGAGGCCGGCTTGTCTTGGCCATCACCGACCTGAAGGCACTCAAAGTTCCTGCAACACTCCACCTGCCTGAAGCCTCTCTCTGTCAGGAAATCCGTGCATCACGCGACTCGGGCACTCCTTGCGTCACATCGAGTCTCGTGAGTCGGTCCCTCGTCCGGGAGCCAGCCGCTCACGACTCAAGAAGGTACTTGGAATCCATGCTGAGCAACCCAACAGCCTTCCTCCTGCGGCACGCTTCACAACGCAGAGCCTCTGTGCTGGGCTTGTGACGGAGGTGGAGACGAAGGGCGTGAAGAGGCCTGCGGCTCTGGCGGCGGTTTCCGAACCCTGGAGCTTTCAAAAAAAGACCAGAGAAGCTCGAGCTCTTCGGGCCTCCTCGCAGGGAGGGGCGAGGATTCATATTGCTCCCACTAAAACCAAAACAGATTCAGGATTCTACCTTTCGAAAGTCTCTTAGAGCTTGGAGTTTTAGGGTGCAGCATCCGCCTCCAACGCCAAAGCGCTGCCGCACTCTTCGGCCTCTAGAAACCTGAGGCCTACAGCTGCCTGGAATCCTGCAAGTTGACAGCAGCAAGGGTTCAAAAAAACCTATGAATACTTGGGGCCTTCGGCAGTGGGACTGCATGGAATGAATGTGGGAAGAGATCGCTGGAATGTTCAGCCCTCTGGGTTCAAGCGGCACTCTTTGGGGATCCTACAGCACAGTACAGCATGCTTTTGAGAGAAGCCGCGCCTCTAACCCAGGAGGCCTGGGACCAATCTGGGAACCAAAAGGCCACGGAGGATCAACGGAAGATGCTGCTCTTTCTTCCTGCAGAGAAGTTCCGCTGCTGCAGAGAAGTTGGGGATCCTCCACGGGTTTAGGAACCTTTCGGTTGCAAGCTCATGCACAAAACACTTCCGTCGTGACATCCGTCATGCCCGGAAGCCCTGTCAGCTTTTTCAGATCCAAGCATCAGCGACTGAAGTCACAAGCTACTGTGTGCATAGCTGACGGTAGCGGGGACAAGACTGCCAGTGTTCCGCACGTCTTGAGCCGATCTGAGATTGGCTTTTGGATCCGATCAGTTCTCGACTTTGGCAAGGAGAAAACGAAAGGCGCGGAGGTTGCAACTGCCGAGTGCCACTTCCGGCCTTACTCTGACGGTGGTAGACCAGGCCATGCTTTTTTGGCTCAAGTAGATTCTACACATTCAAAAAAAATCTGGCATCTCATAGTAGCCGTAAAGGGCAAAGTGCAAAACCGGTATGTTCAGGGTACACACGCGCGCCAAGGGCCAACAAGGGCTTGGCCTTGGAAGTGAGCCGGCAAATTCTGTCATGGAGGCCGTCGCTGGGCATGGTTTCCCAAGGCAAAACGGGGAGTCAGGTGCGGGAATTTGGGATGATCCTATGTGAAACTAGCAGCAACTCTTGGAGACAGCCATGAACCCCAGTGTCAACCAGCTAGTCACCTAGGCTCATGCCAGCACCACTCCAAAGCATGTTGAACGCCTCCAAGATATCTCTTGCGATGGTTGCGTACTGGCCGTTGTTGCGCATGGTGTAGCTGGCGAACTCATCGCGCTAGCGGAGCACGCCCCTAGGCTCTGGAACCAGCCGGAAGCTCTCAATAGCAAGATATCTCTTGTGACAGCTCATCCCCCAAAGAAGCACAGCGTTCCGTGTGAAGTAGAGCCGCCCCGTCCATGTCCACATCGTCACCACGTCCCCAGTACATTTCTCGATGTACGCGGCATGGTCCGAGTCGTTCCCGTAGCCTTTGTCGCCACAGCGATGAGTGGCACCATCTAGGCGCCATGGATTCTCTTCGGTCATACCAATTCTACCTCCGCGCTCGTCTTTCAGAACGGCAAACAAAAGACTGCTAGCAAGTGAGACAGTGGCTCCTCCTTTCGAGGAACAGATCTTGTCCAAAGCCGTCTTCTCTGAAGGCCGGTTTGCTTCGACAACGTCATTACGGATGTACTGGGTTCCGAAGACAGCCTGCATCGCACCGGCGGTCTGTGCCGGGGAGAAGCCATCATGAAGCTGCCGATAGTGGGGTCCCATTCCAGGATAGCTCACATATGCATGACGCTTTTCTTCAGCGCAACTGCGCCCTGACTGCAGGAAGTCCCTGCGAGCACTCATGCGGATGGCCCACATGCCCTGTAAGCCTGCATTTGTAAAGGGATTACCTGTGGCAACCTTGCAATCACCCGCATTCCCTAAGCACTCGCCGATTGATAGTGGCTGACCATCAGATCCCTCGGTACCTGGTTGATTCTCTGCAAAGGGAATCACACCAGGCGGAGCGTCTGAATAGATAAACGGACACCCCTCATCTTTCGGGATGCTTTTGATGGTACCCGTCCAGAACAACTCAAGACCCATCTTCATCGCACCAGCCGGGTTGGTGCTTGCCATAGCTGTCAACACTGCCGTTGGTGCACACTGTGCGCGGCCCGCTTGGTCGAAGTTCTGACGAAGGATTGTGTACATGATGTCGCAGAAAGCATAGCCAGAGACCGCATTCGGGTCATTGATGGTCACGCCCGCAAACTTCCCGCCGGAGTACTTCACGGTGACGCCGTCACCGCTTCCCCACGAAGGGAAATGACCAGGCTCGTTCACGTACCAGTTGACGATGGCCATACGCTTGAAGACCGGATCGAATCCCAAGTTTTGGAGCTTCAGGTGAGCTTTCATCGCTGCCCAGAAGGCTCGGCATGTGGGGTCCGTAGGTGCGCTGCCTCCACCCTCATGCAAGCCGCAATACTCGGTGAGGTGCAGATGGTCCATGATCTGCTTCACCATCTCATTGTCCGCCCCGGTGCCAAGGAAGCTTTTGAAATCAATGGTAGAGCATGCCCAGGCTGCGGTCTTGTACTTCCTGTTCCGTATTACTGTTGGGTCACCGAGACCGAATCCATCCAAGTCGATGAGGTTGGAGCGCACGTAGCTTCCGCCGTTAGGAATGCCAGCGAAGTGCTTGTCGATGATGTCTTGCGCAGAAACAGCCTTTGGGTTTGAGTGGTTCTGCCTCTGCTGGAGGAGAATGTGCTGCTCCGACTCTAACCAATCCGGGCCAGCTCTCACCAAACCCACGATGCTGAGCGCGACCACAGGCAAACGGAGCATGACCTAACTGCTTAACCACGACTCGGGAATGAAGATTCCTCGCCGAAATTGCTTGAGCCGTTTTCCTTCGTGCTAAAGCAAAGGCCAAGAGCACAAATGCTAAACACACGTGCAAAAAATCACAAAAGCTCTTCTTGTGCTCAAGCTCGCCTGTCCGGTGAGCAATGAAGGCATGGTAGATTACAAGCACAAGCAAGCGGCTGAGCGGTGCATGTAGTTGGGATCGAGGCAAAACTTTCCGCGACCCACCAACTTCTTGCTGTCTTGATGTATGGATCTGCCATGTTCCCCAACTCTGCTGTCATAAGCGTTCCTTGCCTTTGCGAGTGCTTCAGGACTCGGGAAAACAAAAAAACACCAACCCAAAAAAACAAACACTTTCAACATCGTGAATGGCCATCTGCATCCAACGCTCTCTCTACCCGCACATTGAAGCATGGCACGCCAACTTGGCATCTTTAGGACCATGCCCATGGCTGTTATAACATGTTGGTTTGAATCTCCAGAACATGTCGGCTACGACTGGGCCTCGGGGGTGATGGACAGCATGTTGTAGTGTCCCGAGCGGCGCAGCGCGGTTTTCCGAAATCCAGCATCTGTTTGCAAAACGGAAGAAAACAGATCCTGGGAAAATTACACTCCCGACTTCCTGCGAAATCTTACGTTGCGAACCTGTCAGTGATCGGAGACAACAAGAAGCAAGAAAACACCGTGGCTGCGCATGAACTCGACCAGCACGTTTTGCCTTTTGCTTGGCGTGTGTCGGCCTGGGCTCGGTCCAGAGCAAACAAACCTGGAATACCGAAAGAAATATATTAAAGTGAAATATCGAGTCTACGGCGGCCGCTCCGAGCAGACAGGCCTACCTGAAACAGAGGTGGGAACCCAGTCCAGGCCTTGCGAACAAGCTATTTGCACAACAAGCCCTCTGCGCAGAAAAACATTGTCGGAGATCCCCATCTACCAAGAAGCTGAAGTGCGAACGTGTCGAGGCCGCAAGATGAAATAGTCCAAGTGCAAGTGATTCTGAAATGTGCTTTCCAGTGTGATCACCGCGCTTGTGCGGGAGATCGCCGTCCAAAGAATGGTGACGGCAACCGTTTTCAGCTGCGTCCGCAAAGAGGTCCGAACAGATTCCGCCTCTGAAGGGTCCACCTTCTGTCATCCAACAGGGTCCGGTGAACGCAAACAACCCCCTGGAAGCAGATGCAACCCCAAGTGCTGCAGCCCTTTGCTGCCAAGTCAATATCGCTGAAAGGCAAAGTTAGAGTGGTAGTCTGTGCTTCTTCCGACGCCACCACGCATCACCCAGGATGCAGAAGCTTCGCACACCTTTTCAAATTCAAAAGGTTCGGACTGAACTGGACTAGGCCACGGATAACAGCCCTGCGGCACAGCATCCGATCGAATTGGGAACTCCTGGAGTCCTGCAGTGTTGTGAGCATGCTTGGCTCGACTCTGCTGGTTTCTAAACGACTTGCAACCTCCTGCCTTCTTCGCTAGCTAACCCTCAGAGGGCAAACAGAAAGCACTCTTTGCGCTGACACAAGCTGCAAGGGCATTTTTTTGCGTGGGCGGGCTTCGTCGACTGCGTCAGTCGGCACCCACAATTCCCCGGTAAGAAGGTGGAGCCCCCAAGACAAGGTGCGCCGCCCGTTGTTCTAGTCCCGTCGGACAACCGTCGACACCGTGCACACCAAAGCCCAAAGTCCACTAGCAAAGGCAATGGCAGGCAGTCAGCGCTGTCGTCACAAAAAACGACGAACCTGCTTCGGCGAGGAAGCTGCCAAAGTCCAACACATCACACCCACGGCTCCCGAGGTTCCAGGGGGTCTCACAAATCCTTTGGCACGACACAAAGTTCCTATAGGTTAGCAACCTCAAACAGCGCAGTCGGCGCAGCATAAGCAGCAACCGCAGGATCCAAATGCGAAAACTTTGCCCCACCACAGTGGACAGCGGGAAAGCCCTGTCGCGTCGTTCAAGCGCACAAAGACACATGCTCACCTTGTCGTGTCAGTGAAACGCTACAGGATGCGGCCCGGGTGTGGCACGTCATCACCGCGGGATCAATGCAGATTTCCACCATGCACTCCAACGCCACTGGTATCCTGGGCTCAAGCGCTGCAGGCCCGATAAACCTGCCCATGCGGTACAAGCTCGGCTCAGTTCGCGGATCCAAACAGGGAGTCAAACACTGGTACACTGGTAAAGGGCCCAGCCATTTGCGGCCGCCTCTGAGCATTGCGAAGCACAGGCGCTATAAGGTGGCGACAAAAGCCAACCTGCTACCTGCGCGCCACGATTGTAAATGATGGGTAGAAGCTCTGGTGCTGGGCGCCGGCGGCGGGTCGGCCGCTAACGCTTGCACCTCAACAACCTAGAAGACGAGGATATCCTCATAGATATACGAGTGCACAGGTTGTGAAAACACAGCAGCGGCGCGCTGAACCCTCTTTTCTCGCGGCTGGAGCCAAAGTCGTTAGCCGGAGGCTTCGTCGGTGAAACACTGCTCTGCCACATGTTCTCTACAACAGTAAACCAGACTCAAACGTGGGGGTTCTCGGGACACGCAAAACTACAACTAACTACACCTACACTACCAAGAACGGACGCAGTCACTCCTAATTCACAAAAGACACTTCCCTACACTCTCAAGCTCTTCAATGGGCTTCACCACTGAAAGCAAACTCACAAGTCACACTGATTGATTCGGCCAAGAGCAAGGGTGCAGAAAGGAAGAGAGAGAGAGAGGCATGTTGCGCTTGCTGGTTGTGCATGTCAGATTGCGGCAAACGTGCGAAAACAGTAATGTACTTGTCTAATCTGGACACTATAGGGGGCCTGTCCTCAGACTCATCTCCGCACCACAGGGGCAACCCCCCCTTCAGCAGCTGCCAAGGCTCTCGCCCCTCCACCACCAACACGCGGACCGGCCACTCAGATGGGTGCCAACGGCGGCCGTTTCTAAGGCCAGGTTTGGGCTCGGCCTGCCTCCTCCCATTCCGACAGGCTTCGACACACCAACGCAGGGCCATGTTTGGCCTGGCGGATGTGGATGGGGCCAATGACCGAGCATCCTGACACCCTCAGCCGACCACCCAGCCAAGCCAGACTCGTAATGCTCCCTTCACTGCCTTCCCAGGAGCTGCCTCAAACGAGGACCCCGCGGTCTCCAAGTCCACCCCCACAAGCTCCAGCCCGGGCACCATCATCGTGGAAGACAGAGTGGATGCGCCCTCCTCCAGAGCTGGGATCAAGTAGCAGGGACCACAATCGCAGATCCTGGACTACAGCGAGAACCCTCTTCGGAGCAGGAAGCCAGCCAGCTCCCCAAGTGCGATCAGATTGTGCAAATCTGACAATCTTGACCAAATGCTGGTTTGGGTCCACACCTTCGCGACCATCTCCATTATGAAGGAACAAGCTATTACTGGTGGCCTGACCGCCTCTGAACAGGTCACACTGTGGACCAACAGATTTGGGGCTCTGGGTAGGGTCCCCTGGATCTTTGCCCCGATCATGAGGGTAGCCACAGACAAAGATGCCCTGGACGGACATCACGCAGGCGAAGCTCATGGTCGGGGCCAATGGCCAGTTCACGCTCTCCATTGGCGTGGCTACACGGAACTCAAGTCCACCACCGTGTACTATGGCATCGTGCACTCCCTCTTTCAAAAGATGTGGGATCACGCGGACATGAACTCCTTGCTGGAGACAGACGACAACTTTGAAATTGTGCATCCAGCTTCAAGTGCATCTTTGACCAGACAACCCGGAAAAGTGGGGGCCTCAACAAAGCCATCTTCTATCAGTCCAAGGATGGCCAGCTGATCCGCAAGCTGCGGATAGAGCATAACAAAGACAACACGACAAGCGCTTCGGCGGAGCCAACAGCCCGCACCGACAAGCGCCATCGGAACAGCGAATCCTGGTCCAGCAGCTGGTGGCAAAAGAGGTTCAGGCTCCGGTTTCGGAAGCAGCCAAGCCTCGCACAACGTTGCGTTCGACGTGGAGGGGACACACTCAGTCCGGCTGCACAGTGGCAGCCCTGCACTGGCACTTCCCCTCGGATGGAAGTGAAACATCGAAGCATCGTCTTGTCCATCTCTTCAAAATCGATCGCTCTGGATGAGAAGCTGCCATTCATTCCACCCGTCGCACTTTGCTGATTTCCGAGAGCAAATAGCCATCGGCCTGATGGTGATGAAGCGTTGCCTTCTAGAGCACTCCAAGAGTGCCGGCACAAACGGAGCAGTGGTGTGACGACACGAGGCCTATCCCGTTTTTTTTTGGCGTGGGCGGGCCTCGTCGACTACAGCTGTAGCACTCGGTCCCTTTTTTTGGCGTATGCGGGCCTCGTCGACTACAGCTGTAGCACTCGGTCACTACAATCCAAACAAACAAACAAACAAACAAACAAACAAACAAGAACAAAACAGCGGTGAAACGATGCGGCACAAATGGAGGGGCTCAACTAACCTAGCTGCGGCGCACAGGCTTTGCCGGTGTTGGCCGTTCAGCACAAGCTACGGGGCCTCAGCGACCGATCCACAACAGCAAAAGGCCGTCGCCTAGAGCTGTCCAAGACCACCGGTGGAGCCCAACGGTCAGCCCCGGGGTCCACACAAGCCCACAAGTCCAAGAGGAAAGGGCGGCCGGCGGTGAAGCCACGAAAAGACCCTACGACGTATGTCGATGGTCAAACTGCCAGGCCTCTGGGGTGTGCGACCAGGATGTTACTGGGTGCGGTCAATCGCTGAAGGCAACGGCCAGTTGTCAAGCAAGCGCTGCATATCATTGCCACTGGCAGGGAAGTGTGCGTGGAGCGAAATGCACTGTATGCTCTCTTGGGAGGATGGACACCCTCCCCCTTGTGTGGCCGAAGGAGGTGGAGGCCGAATCGGGGCGGCTTCGTAAACTCCAGCAGCCCAAAGATGGGATGTTCGGTGTCAAGCACTGGATAGAAAGGGCGCGCCGTGATTGGTCGTCCACTGGGT